GTATTATACTTGTCCTCAAGTCTTTCTAGAGTGTGCAATCTTCTAAACTGTCCTGTAGTAGTATTCATTTCCTTTTTACTTGCTTTTCCAAGGAATTTACTGTTCTCCAGGAAAGCAACAGCACTGACCTTTTACTGAGGTAGTTGATGTTAACATGCTAATAGGGACTCTAAGGTTAAGGTTAATTTTAATTAAAATTAACCCAGTTCAAAGTGAATGAACAGAAGGGATGGCCTGTAAACTTTGAATTTTTATTTGGGTATTTAGCTTAGCATTTGTCAAATTAAATCCTTGCATGATCAAATCTCATGATTTTATTGTCAAGGCTCTGGTTGTACTGATTGGCTGTGAAGCTAGTAACTGAACAAATGGTTTATCCTCTGCCACTTTAACCTGTGGTAAATGCATAACCAAATTCAAAGCTACCAAAGTACAATATGCAGAATATTCCAGTAGATGATTGGGTCATCCTGGTTGGTTTGGAATAGTTACCAAAATCAGTTGCTGGTGGTGATCTAAAGATCACTGAACTTAAGCAACCTTTCCCTTGATATTGTAGGTTTCCAGTGACTGAGGCACCTCATTGCAATGCTGGCCAACACTTGACATGCTATGGATTTTATTCCCCTCATCTTCCCCCTTTTACCAATTAAAAATTAGGACAGAATTTAAGTGATAAGTCTGTTCGTACTTGATCTGTATGACTTGTTCTGATTCTCTTGAATAAGATGGAGACCAACTTTCTTGGATTTCTTGTTGATACTGTCTGGTGATCAAAAATAAAGTCAACTTTCCCTCCAGTCTAATTTTTTGTGCAATTAACTTCTTTGATTCATTCAGACTAAATTCACTGACCATGTACATGATCTTGGCAGGAAAAGGTGAACACTTTCAGTACAAAACAATCCCATCAAAATAGGACTGATGGCAAATTTTAGATGATTTTGTTTGCCTTGGCTGTGCTGATTTTTTTCTACTTCATACCATTTAGCACAGCCTTCTGGGCTTCCTCACAGAAATCTATTGGATCAGATCAAAGGGATTGACCATGGCTGCTATTAGTACCTGCTCCATCCACTAATATGCTGTTCCAGTTGAGTCCTGAGTCCCATCACTCATTAGATTGAGGTCTTGTCCCTCATGCAAACACTTCACTTAAAATGAGGGTGAAAAGTTGAAGTTGCATTATTAATTCACTTAACACACATACAAAGGAATTTGTGGGGGTAAGGTGTTCAGTGTATTCAAAGCAAACATAAATTAGCATCTGTTTCTACATTAAGTGACAGGACAAAGCTGAGTGTACAGTATGCTAGGATTCACAAATGGGCTAAGAACAACTCTAATCTGTTCCACCAATTAGAACTCAGCTGGTGTGGGCAATGTTAGGTGCCACACTATATAGGAAGTAAATGAATATGTTGGAATATAAAGGGTTTGCAATTGGTCCAACAATCAGATCCCTTCTTAAAAACAGTGGATGGGAAAACCATTCTCACTTGTAAATGAACTAGGGCTTGGGTAGGAGTTCAAATCCAAGCTTCAGGTACTATATCGGAAAGGGGGGCAAGAGTTATCTGGACACTTTTGGGCAAAGTAACTTTTAGATTTGGCTCACCTTCACTGATGGGTAAGTGGTAACAATGGGGGTACCTGGAACTTTTTGGAAATGGACAAAGATGGGGTTTGTTGGTAGAGGATTCAACTGATCCCAGCACTGTGGTAGAGTGTCAGGTGGGGTGGGCCCAAGTAAAATGTACTAATGGTAGGAACAATTAGTCTAATCTCAACACTTTTGAAAAGTGCCAAAACTTGAGTCCAGAAATAGTATGTAAGAAATAGGAGTAGGTCACAGCACCCTTAAGCTCTGATGTTTGCTAAAATCATGGCTTACCTGAACATGGCACCAGCCACACTTCTCTGCTCATCTCCCACAGCTCTGAATGTCTTCTAGTTCTAAGACACTGTTTGAATATAGTCAACAATAGCATCTGCAGTCCCCTGGAGTAAAGAATTCTGAAAACAATCCTGAAATCTGCCTCGCATCTGTTTTTGCTCCAACTAAGGCAGCCATAACTTACCTTTATACTAGTTAAACCTTAAGACTTTGTGGGCAAATTATGGTCAATTGCAACAGTACTTTGTATACAGTATTTAAAGCTTCTCATTTTGAAAATGTTGCATCAAGTGGTCTGTGCTGTTTATAAAAGGTCTGAGCTACCCTGATATCAGCACAAAACACACTCAAACTCAAGTGCAGGTTCCATTTCTTAACCAATTTTTTTTTTTTGTTTAGTGAATATTAAATGACCCTAAAAGTGATGCTTCCTAGAGTTTGACCTTTAGAATCTTAGAAGTGAAAGTGAATATGAAAACCTTATATAAAGCCATTTTAATTCCAAAAATGTTATTCATACCAAAAAACCTGTGTATATATACATTGTCACAAATGCAGTTTCATTCTGGACAGTTGCATATCAAGTAAACAAACAAACCATTGGACTTTGACTTGACATACAATACAAATGTTTACGGCTTTAGGAGGATCTGATAACTGAATGGACACCCATTTACCTTCAACAGGGAGACCTCCAGATAGTAGTATTTCCCCACTGCCCTGGTGGCCGCTGCCCCTGGCTTCAGTGTGTCCCTCAGCATGCAGTCCTGAGCCTTGGAATGTGTCAGTCTGCAATTCTCAGTCAGGATCAACAGATCAACTCCTTGCTCTGGAAGACCAACCAGTTTCATGGAGACCAAAGAGCATCTTTCACCAAACTGTTGGTCCTCCAGGGCCAAATGATGTTTGTTTTGGAGTCCGCCCTAGGAAACAGACCTTACAGCACAGAGGCCTGTGTCACGGAGCTGCTGGAGACAAACCTTGACACAAACCACTACATCTTTCTCCAGACTTCCCTTGTAAAGGCAAAAGGCACATTCCAGCAGGAGACGTGTGACAGTCTCAAACCACCCCATTCCGCCCCACAGCTGCTTCAAGGACAGAGTGCAGCAGCTCAGATCAACCAGGCATACATAAAGGATCTCACAGGTCATGTCCTTCTCACCATCAGCCAAGCAATGTCTTGGTGCCTGTTGGAAAGTCCTGGTGATGAGGCATTCTGCCAAATGACTTTGACAGTCTGCTCAGGGAACCATGCAAACAGGATCCACCCTCTTCTTTTCACTCAATCTCAAGAATGCTATGTGCTGACCACTTCCTGATGGACTGGTAGTCAAAGGTGGTTTTCTTTGCAAATTTCTCTATGAAGGACAGGTAATATGTTCTGTGGCAGTGAGGCCAGTCCCATCCTTCGCAACACTAGGGACAGGTAGAACCTCAGTATGCAATGACACTTGGTGTTGGTGTTGGTGTACCAAGGGTCTATGCACAGTTTGATGCAGCTGCACACAAAGGTTGCCATCATCCTGATGGCCATGTTGGGTATGTTCTTGCCCCCCCCATTTATCCAGAGTTTTGTACGTGGAGTCCCTGCGGACCCAATCTATCTTAGGCTTCCAGATGAAACAAGATGGCTCAGGTGACTGAAACAGCACAGTTTTGGGTGACGGGCCAGACCTGTGCCATGTACAATAACAGCGAGAGTGCCTCACACCTGATGACCAGGTTTTTTGCCACAATGGAGAGGGAGTGGTGCTCCCAAAGGACCAGTTTCTGCTTCAATTTGGTGATGTGTTCCTCTCAAGATTTTCTGCAGGCCCTGGCCTCTCTGAATCAAATACCCAGCACCTTCAGGTAATCTGTCCTGACGGTGAAGGGAATGAAGGATCGGTCAGCCCAGTTCCCAAAGAACATGGCCTCGCTGTTGCCCCTATTAACCTTGGCACCCAAGGCCATTTCAAACTGGTTGTAGATGCTCATGAGTCAGCTCACTGACTCACAGCAGAAAACAGTGGCATTATCCATGTACAGGGATGCTTTGACCTGCTGGCCCTTGTTGCCCCGAATAGTTGCCCCTCTCAGGCTTGCATCCTTCCTGACGGACTCAGCAAAGGGCTCTATACAACACACAACCATGGCAGGAGGGAGTGGGCAGCCCTGCCTGACTCCAGATCTGATTGGGAAGCTTTCTGATTGCCAACCGTTGATTTGAGACTGCACTAACCATGTTGGTGCTGAGCAGTTGGATCCAATTGCAGATTTCCTCCCCAAAGCCCAATTTGGAGAGCACATTCCATGTACGTGTGATATCCTGCCAAAGGCCTTCTCCTGGTCCACCACCCTTCATCCTGCACATAGGTGGTCATATCCCTGATGAGCGTGAGGCTCTCAGAGATCGTCCGCCCAGTACAACACAGATTTGGTTGCGGTGAATCACCAATCCCACAGCAGACCTGACTTGGTTGACAACAACCTTAGACAGGATTTTGTAGTCTGCATTTAGCAGGGATATTGGCCACCCATTTCTAATTTCCTCCCTCTCCCCCTTCCGCTTGTGGATGAGGATGATGATATC